TTTCTTATTGGTACAAGAAAAAAAAAGAAAAATAACTAAAACAATGTCGTTCCTTCACTATTCTAGCAATAATTGAAACTGGCTTTCCATGACGATAAATTTATGAATAATGTTATTTATAATAAGGACTACAGATAGTCATCATTATATAATGCTAACTATAAAGGATTATGGAATTATATATATATGTCACATAGAATAACTATCAATAATCCTCACTATGAACAGCGTTACTCTTTATTTATTTAGCACTTAGCCATGGATTTGTTTTAACATTCAAATTCCTTATTGATCCTCATTTTCTAAAACTTGTTTTCTCCTAATTCATTTTCAACCATACTTTCTTTCAAAAATAATTTTTTGCGTGGATTCATAACCATTTTTACTTTTTGACCGCATATTTTTTCAAAAACTCACTTTTCACATTTTTTTTTAATCTAAAAATCTCTATCAAATAGAAGCTTATCTAGATTTTGCTTTTGCATCATCTATTTCATCTCGTACGATACTCGAAAACATCCATATCCGCAATCACAAACATTTATATACCACTCTTTTCTATATAAGAAGCTTCATCTAATCGTAATAACAATATGTCTCTAAAAACTTATATGTATATGGATCCCCGTTCTCTCTCGATATATAATAGTGTTTCTAAAAACTTATTTGTAGAACAAAATATGATCGTGACATAACATTGCCAATTATAGGACTCTATTTGGTGATCGGTAGTTAGTGACTACATACATATTTATGAATTTAATGTTATATAAAGAATGTAATGTTACACACAAACTGTTTGCCAATCTATATGTACGTCTGAGATTTGAAAAGAATTTAGAGAATAAAATCAATTCTCATTCTCATTCCACGAGTATTGAAAATGATATAAAGGGAGGTTTATACACACGAATTAATAGCATCTTGAACCAATGCCATTTTCATCATAGCCAAGTTAGACTAGATTGGCATCATAGACCAACAGCTATTTATTCAGCAAAGTTAATAAGAGAGAAAAATCTGGACTTCCTTTATGTCATTTAATTAGATCTTATAGCCATTGGAGATTGCTGAGAATGAATTGCCATTTTGTGAGCTGTTTATTATAGTTTCCTTTTCATCTACTACCGCCAATTGAATGTAAATTTCAGCATGCAATTATCTTGTCCGTAAAAGAAACACAAGTTGTCTTAAATTAATTAAAGGCAAAGCCGTTCAACTGTTTAAGCATTTACATTACATGTTTTAAATGGTATAAAAAAATTTCATAACTTTTTTGTTGCATAATCATAAAACTTTTATATCTCAAAACGTAGATGTGTGTATGGCAAAACAAAAATCAGGTAATAGCATATTAAACTTTTAGATAAATAGGTAAATAGAAGTGCACTTATCCTAATTTTTTAATATGTATCAAGTAGTCTTATAAATTAACACATGCCTGTGGCCGGTCTATTATTAAAAAGATAAAGACTACGTTGTGGTCAATGTGTTAGAAAAAACCTTGTGGTTTTTAGCTGGTTTCTTTTGTTAGGTTTTGTAACTCAAATATAGTTAGGAGTCCTGTGAAATTGCGTATTTGATTTTTAATTAGAAATGAAGATTGTATCCAAGTTGAATAATGAAAGGAAATCCTCTCTTAATCTAAGTTCTATTCGCAATTGTAATCTAATTTTAACAGATTTTCTTAATTTTTAGGACTTTCATAGGGTTTGGAATCTGACCTACAAATACAGGGTTTTTCTATTAGTTTTGTTTAATCATTATTGTTGAGTCTGTAATTTCTCTCAATATTGTCAGTTAATATACATCGTTCATCTGCAATTAACTCTTTTTTTTCTTTACTTTTAATCTTTTTTCTTGTTGTGATCTTTATTATTTCATACTGTGTCATTAATCTAATTAATTACAATCCCTCCGGATCCAACAAAGGAGAAGTTGAAGCATATTGTTGGAGCTACGTAGAGGGATGATGAAACTCATGTGTCTCATGTTGGTCGACGGAAGGGCAGAGAGAAGAATAACAGCAATTTGTTTTGCTTCTACTACAGACGTATGGACATATTAGGAAGGATTGTGATAAGTTGTATGCTAAAGGCGATTTATCTACAAATCGTGGAGCACAACCTTTGACTTTAGACGAAATAAATGTAGTTGAGGATTTTTCAGACAGTGAAGATGTGATGTTGACCATGGTATCTAACGTGAAATCTAGGCCTGAAGAGAAGTAGATTCTTAATTCGGCATGTTTGCATCATATGTGTTCCAATCGAAATTTCTTTCAGACAAATAAGGTTGTTCAGTGAGGTGGAGTTGTAATGGGGTCTTGTCATATTACTGGGATCGTTCAAGTCAGATTTAGGTTGCGGGATGGGACAGTCAGAATAATTGATCAGGTTCGATATGTTCCAGACATGAAAATGAATCTCATCTCGCTTAGTACTCTAGATACAAAAGGGTATAAATTCTTTAGTAGAGGTGGAATCCTGAAGATCCGAAAAGGTGTCCAGGTTGTACTAGAAGGACGACGAAGGTCTTAGTCGTACATCTTGTATCAAAGCGTAGAACCAGTTAAGAGACATCTGAACAAGTTCAGTATTGTGGAAGATGTTCAATTTGGTACAGTACCTCTTCTGACGGGTTCTAGGTCGATTCAGAACATTGCTCGAGGGAGCGTTGGTGATTTTGCTTGGCCACCAGTTTCAGCGGTTGCACTGTGTTCAGTTATTAGGGTTGGATCCATTGAGCACAGGTACCATGGTGTCAGTGATGTCTGTAATGCTTTTGGGGACATTGAAGGCGACAATTCTAGCAAGGGACCTTCTGTTCAGGCATTTTGTATAGTTTCTACTACAAGGTGTGCTTCGACCTTGTTTGGTAAACATTAATTCCTTGATGAAATTTTGGGAACTCGGGAGTTGAGTTTAGGTGTCCCTTGTAGATGCCGTGCAGAGAATAATGGTTTATATGCAGAGTTTTGGTTACTGCGTTGAGGAGATTGACCATTTCATTTCGATGCAAACGAGTTTATTTCTCAAGTGGAGAAATTTTGTGGAACTCCACGCGTTACACCAAAATTTGAGTCAAGATAGAGATTGTTAGGCTGGTAACTCAAATATGGTTTAAGAATCTTGTGAAATTGAATATTTGATTTTTAATTAGAAATGAAAATTGTATCCAAGTTGAATAAGGAAAGAAAATCCTCTTTCGGTTGAAGTTCTATGCGCAATTGTAACCTAATTTTAACAGATTTTCTAACCTCTTAGGACTCTTCTAAAATTTGAAACATGGCCTATAAATACAAGACTCGTTGTCAATTTTGTTTAATCATTATTGTTGTGTCTATAATTTCTCTATATATTGTCAGTTAATATACATCATTCTTCTGCAATTAACTATCTTTGTTCTTCTTTACTTTTAATCTTGTTTTTTGTTGTGATCTTTATTACTTCATATTATGTCATTAATTTCATTCATTACAATCCCTCCGTGTCCAACATCTTTATATTCATTGTTAACAAATGGGATCTTGAGTTAATTAAAGTAACAATTTAATTTCTGGTTTATTCTGGCTTGTTGAGTAAAATCATCATTTGCATATAAATTATTAAATTGCAGTGTAAATTCTGGTCATACACCCGGCATATTTGTTTGATGGGTGCTCTATGGTTCGTAGTTTTAATTACAAATTAAGAACGAACCATCCTTGGAATCAAGGCCAAGTACCAACTTTTTTTTCTTGGCAAACAATACTTTTTAAATTACTATGAAATAATCAAATTTCCAAATTAAAATTACAACAAAAAAAAATTAGGTTGTATACAATTTCCATACAAATAATAGATGAAATCTTCAAATAATTTCCTTCATCTTCGACATGCTATTCATGCTAGAATCTACATTTGATGGATCAGTCGAGCATTAACACCTTGGCATATCAAGATAAGGAACCAATATTTTAGTATCTCGACTCTTGCCATTTTTGACTATGAAAGCCATTCCCATCCGCCAACTTACGTGACGCTCAAAATGGCATGCATCGTCTAACCTCCTGCAACATTTAAGTTTACATCATTAGTTTTCCTTGCAAATTCAAAGCAAATAATCCAGGTGCGTGGCATATTAATTGACATATTTAGTTTTCCTGGCAATGATGATGAAAAATAATGATGTCAATTAATATGTCATGTACCTGGATTCAGAGCCGGTCCTGTGTCTGATGGGCCCTGAGGCGAACGATGAAAAGTAGGCCCCTCAGCGACAAAGTTCAAAGGTGTATTATGCGACTCATTGCTAACTTAAAAAACTAACATTAAAATAACAACGAAATATATCATAGAAACGATTTATCTTATAAACCATCAAACCAAAAATTTCAAACAATTAGTTAAATACTATTCGTCTTGCTGTTTTAGAGGCAAAAACATCAATCAAATCTAAATAATTTAGCTGCGCAACCATTTCTTTTTCTATTGATAACATAGCCAACCCGTTTAATCTTTCTTGCGACATAGTTGATCGGAGATAGGTCTTGATCAACTTTAATTTTGAGAAACTTCTTTCCGCAGATGCAACTGTAATCGGTATGGTTAACAAAATTTGGTAAGCAGCATAAGCATTTGGAAAACAAACATCCAATGTCTTCAAATATTGTAGCACTTCAATTGCTCTTGTTGCTTCACTTGGTATATAACATCTCAAGACTTGTAACTCCGAACATAAATCATCCCGACTGATATCCGAACACCCATTATGTTGAAGATATTTCTCAAGATTCAAACAAGATTTCAACAAACTTGAAAAAGTTGCACCCCTTAACCTCTTCAAACTAAACAAAAATCCAAATGTGTCATCATATTGTTTGAATTGTTCAAATCGAGTCCTCATAGAAGATAGAGCTTGATAAATTATAAAAATAAAGTACTTAACTCTAAAAGATTCTTCTGCTGATTGTTTTACCTCATCACTACCACTTTCATCAAATTATTTTTTCCTTCGAATTATGCGTTTGCTGTAAACACAGCTTCAATTCCCATTTCGCTTGCCTTTTTTGTCGCTTCATCTTTGGCAATAGCAAATCCAATTTTTCTGTATTCTTCAAGAAATGAAACAAGCCCTTGCAAGAGGTCGATAGCATGATCAATATCCATGGATTCGGTTTGAAGAAATTTACTCACAATATTGACAGCATGCAACAATCTGTGTACCAGATTATCATGCCAAACAAAAATTCAAAATTTTGAAGTTCAAGTGTTGCTAATGACTCGGCTTCACTCTTCACTTTAGGATCTTCATTATTTTCTGCTAAATCAAGTAATGCATCTCTTATCTGTGCATTTTGCTCCATTATAGGCTTCACACTTTCAACATGACTTTCCCAACGTGTTTGTGACAATGGCTTCACTGTCAACCTTTGTACATTATCTTTGAAAATTTTCTAGCTTGGTAGAAAAGGAAAATAATGTGTAGATGCGTTGTATCACTCCGAAGAAGGATACAGCTTTGGAACAACAGTTCACCATATCACATAATGCTAGATTTAGACTATGAGCGCCACATGGAGTATAGAAAGCTCGGGGATTCATTTTATGGACTCTTCTTTGCACACCTTTGTGCTTCCCACTCATGTTAGATCCGTTGTTATACCCTTTCCCTCTAATGTCATCAATATCGAGATCAATTTTTATCAAAGCCTTTTGAAACTCGGTTGCAAGTCCAAGTCCTGTTGTGTCATCTACTTTCAAAAATTCTAGCCAATGTTCTTGAACTGTAGGTAAGTTTGCCGAATTATCTACAAATCGTACAATTAAAGACATTTGCTCCTCCTGACTTGCATTTGGAGTACAATCAAGTATAACTACGAAATATTTTGCATCTTTAACTTTCTTGACAATTGAACTTCTCACTTGATTAGCCAACAACTGTATCAACTCATTTTGAATTTTTTTGCCAAGATACGTATAATGAATCTCTTTTGCTTTAGCCCGCCGAAGGTGCTCTTGCATTACTGGATCAAATTCACTAACCATTTCGACCATTTGTAAAAATAGGTCATTGTTCTCAACATGTAGCCTCTCATCATCTCCTCGAAATGGCAATGTGTTTTTCGCAAGTTTTTTAACAATAGCGAGTATCCTTGTTTATACATGTCTCCAATGTTCTCTTTCAGTATAAATCAACAATTCAATGCTTTTATCAATTGTAGTTTTTGATCGAAACCTATTTTCCAATTCAATCCAACTAGTCATGCAACGTAAATGCTCCTCATTTCCTTCATGACTTTTAATAGACCGATGCAAATTATGCCAATCTTTGAATCCATCATTACCTAGTTGGCCAACTTTTGTCACATTTATTGGTGTTTTAAGCAACTTGCAACAAAAGTAGAAGATCCTGTCCATAGACACTGAATATACTAGCCATCTTCTATCAACTGTTTTCCCATTTGGTAGCAATCGCTTATATTGTGAAGAATCGAAATGTCTATTTGTATAGTCTTTCGAAAACGAGATGTCATCAACTCTTTTTGGATCCCTTTCAACTAAGTAATCCCTTGTTCTTTGATCAATAATTTTCCAATTCCCGGGATCATCCAAATTTAGAGAAAAGCAACCCTCTTCTTCCTTATCATCTTCTTCATTATTAGAGGCGAGCTTCATCACTTCTTCTTCCTTATCATCTACTTTGTTAACATCGGTAGGTTGACTCATTTCTTCATCCTTATCATCCACTTCATTAACATGGGCAGGTTGAATCTCTACTTCATCCTCAATCAACGCATTCACATTGTCACTTTTGAAGTACTTGTTAATATCCCATGCTTGACTTTGAATTAATGCAATTTCACTTCGTTTTCTTTTCCTCTTTTGAGCACCAGACTCGTATTTAGGAGGCATAGTAATGTCCAATGAGTAGCCTAAAAAACAATCACTAAATAACTCAATCATCTCACAATTATAGTTTCCAATATAGTTACTACGTGCGCCTGTGCAATTGTTCATCCTACAATAAGCAATCATATAAGCCGACAAGGTTTCAAACATTTCCAATCTCTTCAATAACAACTTAGGGTAAGCCATTGCTTACCTGATAAGTGAAATTTTGACGAAAATTGTAGAATTACACCCTTAAGAATGATCCCGTTTTCTGAACCGGTGGTAAGCTGATCTCAATTTTTGAATTCTGTCAACGATGCTCTAGCATAGCAAAAAGAAACATGTAAGGAAATAACAAGTATATGATGAATTAAAATGAAAGAAATAACAAGTATTTGATAAATTATAAAACTTCAATCTAGTTAAAACATGGATGTTACTAGATCAGAGAACCACAAGCTTAACTAGATTAGAAAAGGAAAAAAGCCAATAAAAAAACAAATATTTTGGATGAATTTAAGCTACTGAAAACTTAGGGGAGTCGAGCAGGCTATAAAAATGACGAAAAGAAAAAGCAGGTAGCTAGGAGAAAAAGCAGAAATCACAAACGACGAAAAGAAAATCAAAGAATTTAGAGCATGAATCAGTAGATATCTAAAAATATTTTTGCATTCATGATTTGAAAGAATTGGTCTACCTAGTATTTTTAAATCTACTGACTATTTCCTCTTTATATTATGATAAACTATGCATCACATCTCAGTTGTCTGCTGCAATCAGTATGATGCTAAATGCTTGAACTCTTACTTCTGAAAATGTATGTTGGATTGTTGCCAAAGAAGGTGATATTGTGGAGGTGAGATTTAAGACCTTTTCTCTCTTATTTGTGCTCTATTATTGATAAAAATTGTCATCATGGATCCATTTGTATGTCAATGTCATGCATAATGTGTATCATCCATAAGCTTGTCCCCTTACGATTAAATATATTATAGGAAAAGGACTATTTTATATGTTTGATACGATGGCGTTTTATGAGAGTGTTGTTCGGGCAAATTTTACTTACGGTAGTCTCACCGGAGTCAAGGGATTCTCGCAGGAAGAGCTCTTTTTATGGCTTTCGGTTAGGGACATTGTTATCGATGATCCGAAGTCTGGCCTAATTCTGTTCGATATTGGTGTTGCTCAAAAACAGCTTTCGTTGTCGTTGTTTGAAGATCCACCGGATTGTAATGCCAAGAGTAAGTGGATTTCATTGTTTTGATATGAAAGATCTGTTGGAATACCTTCCATTTTAGTGGATCTTGTTGCTGGTTTTTCCTTGTTCTTCATCAACCTTTCATAGCAAGATCTCCCAGTTTGTTGTAAAATTTTGAAACCAATTGACTATTTCACAGCAACATGTTTAAGACGGATTAGATTTCAATTTTACCTCTACTTTTTAGAATGTTCAGTTAGAAAATGAACATTAAATTGAGTTCGTTGCAGTTCAAATTAAACATTTTTGCAAAATTCAATCGTAAGTTAAATGACATTAAGGACTCGTTTTAACAAGACTTATGAAAAGTTAAAAGTTACTTCTATGATTAAGAATATGTTTAGATAATTTTTTAAAAATATTTTGTCTTATTGAGAAGCAAAAGCAAAAATCCGAGCCCTAAATTCGATTTTCCTCCTCATTTTCCCTTCCCTTTTATCTCAAGCAAGTAGAAACAAATTTCCCTTCCTAATCACGCCTCAATCCTACCCCATCTTCAAAAGTATTCTCAACCACGTTCTCTTCCTCTGTATCCTCTTTCTATCGTGCAAACACTCGCGACAGTTTGCATTTTTTTCTGATAATCATTGTCATTGTAACCTTGGTCTAGATTTTGTAATTCTCTTGCTTTCTAGAACTGAATTTGATCAGTAATTACTTCAATTTTGCCTTTCAGTCTTCAGAAAACCATCGGAAAATCAGTAATGGCTTCAATTAACACTCACATTCAAATTCTCATTCTGTTCTTTTTTCTTCAGAAAACCATCGGAAACATTCTTGATTAAGTCTGTCACTTGTTCTTTTGATCTTTAGTGATATGATCCCGGATGCACCATCAATTTCCAAGAATTCATTAATTGATTGGAGAAGGTCGAAGTCAAGAACCGAGCCAAGTCGAGACTTTGAAGTAGCTAATAAAATTGTTCAGTTATGTATTCGAGCAACGAAGTCTAAAATCATGAAGTTCACCTGTCAAGGAGTAAATTTGATGAAGGTGCCGAAGTCTAATTCAATTGGGATTAGCTTGATAATTACAGCCGAAGACGGAGCCAAAATCAAAGATTGTACGACTGCACAGCTTCCAACCCTTGCGGCCGCATAAGAGCAAACAGGGAATTTTTTGGCTGTTGATGAAGCTTCCATGCGGCCGCAGTCACTACCACCATGCGGCCGCACCACAGAAAATCGGCCAGAAAATTTCCTTTTCCACGCGAGAAGATTTGTTTGAGTCAATTTCTTATTTTTGGTAACTCTAATATTATAAGGACTCTAATTTCGTGTTTTACAATATTTTAGGAGTTTGTTCCTTTTTAAATCAAGTTTTTATATTCTTTAGTATAAATATGAGTTTTATGATTCATTGTTAGAAGACTTTTATTATGAAATTAGAGAATTCTCTCTTGAAGCTTTGCTTCATTTATCTTTGTTCTTGAATGGAAAAATCCGAACTTATCAAAACTAATCATCTTGTGGCATTCAAACCATCGGCTTGAATCATTGAATTGTGTAATCAAAGGTTCTTTCGCGTCAACGTTACCGTTGGATTTTTTGGTTCATCTTTTATTGGTTCAAATCCACAATCCGGGTGTGATTTCTTCAATCGTGTGATCAAGAGGTCTTTCAAGCAACGTTCTTGTTGGGTTGCTTGGTTCACTATTTTGAGGTCAGATCCATAAACCTTGGTCATATTGGCATTCTTGGGATCTGATTCAATATCCTGTGGGTTCGATTGCAACCTTACTGATCGGGTTCGCATCATTTAGAGCTTCAACTTTGTGCTGTTTTTCACCCAAAATGCAAAACCAAGTAAACCAACCTCCTTCAGGTCCATCTCTTTCCATTTCTCACACACAGACATGGACACGAACACGAACACAAGCTTCTTTTAAAGCACAACAGGAGAATTTTCCATGAAAGCCACAAACATTTACAAGGAGAACAAGAGCAAAAGAGGGCTGACAAGCACTAGCTCACCTCCACATGCACAAGTATAAACTGTATGTTATGAAATCTTATCTTTTCTTCATCAACTATGATCAACACATAATTAAATGCAACATGAGAAAGCCACATTTATCAACACAATTTGATTGCATGCCTGAGACAGTGAGACCATTAAGAACATATTCACAGATGAGATGGAAAAAGAAATTAATCAATTAATCAATTCTACATTCACCCAAAAATCATTCACCGGTAACTGGTTCACAGTTGCAACTTGCAATTAATCAATCAATCATAATATTGGAAAAAGAAAACGCAAATTATCTTTTATATATACTAATTCACGCCTGTTCACACTCGCTTTCAGGTAAAGAGAAAGATGAAAAGTACCTTCTTTAACTTTCAGACTTTCAGCAAAGCTTCGTAGAGGCTTCTGGTTCTTCTTTTTGAAATACTGTAAAAATAATAATAATAATAAATTCAGTAAATCTTAAATTTTTCCAAAATAGAACGAGAAAACAAAAATAAAATTCAGAAATTATAAAATTCAGTAATTAAAAAAGGGCTGTATTTATTACAAGCTGACAGTATAGCGGAGGGAAGGGGATTTCTGTGGCCTGTGGAGTGCAGTGTGCGGAGCGGACGGTGGACCTGCAGGCTGCAAAGGCGAGCAGCGAAGCCGGCGGCAGAAGCAGAAGCCAGAAGAAGGGCCAAGGCAGATTCGTGGTGGACTCACGTCACTCACCGGACTATGTCACTGTCACTGTGGAGAGGGGAGTGACGGTGGAGTGACAGTCGCTCGTGAAAGTAGGAGGCGAGGCATTTGATATGAATTCTCACTTTTCAGATTTGGGAATTTTGTTAAATGGATTGGATTTGATTTGGATAAATGGATTGTTGGGTTGGGATTGGTTTAGTTATTGGATTGAGCACTTGATTTGGGCCAGCTGAA